TATTATCTGATTTTATCACAAAACAACCTTTATTACCATTTCACAAAAGAAACAACTGTTAGAGATTTACCCAAGGTTAAGAGGCTAATAAGTACCAGAATTTGAACCCATGCTTTCTGATTTCAGCTCTTAAAGATTACATTGCATGCTGGGCTCAGTGGCTCAYGCCTTTAATCCCAGCAGTTTGGGAGGCTGAGGCAGGAGGATCTTGAGTTCAAAGCCAGCCTCAGCAATTTAATGAGGTGCTAAGCAACTCAATGAGATCCTGTCTCTAAATAAAATACATAATAGGGCTGGGGGTGTGGCTCAGTGGTCAAGTGCCCCTGAGTTCAATCCCTGCACCCCACCTCCAAAAAAATAAAAAAGATTACACTGCATAACCATCCATATTATTATTGTTATTTTAATGTAGTGGGGGAAGGTAGACTAAGAAACCTCTGGAAATGAACTGAAATTAAAAAAAGCTTCACCTCTGAAGACACAGACAAGGGCAGGATACTATGGGAATCATTTTTGGTCTTTTCTTCACAAGACATTATTTTTTTATTTCCCTATCTCAATTATGATCTGGTGTTTATGTTTGAGGGATGGGAAGGGGCCAAGTGATAGCTTAGAGACTAGGTCACTGATGTGTGGGAAGGCATTAACAACTCACCCCACGTGGTATTTCTCACCTTTCCAATACTGGGACTTGGGTGTGAGTCAGGATGTTCTGCTCCCTGGCAGCTCAGGGAAGGCAAGAAAGTGGTAGAAGCCAGGACAAACCTGAGGACCTTAGTGCTTACACAGAAGAGGAGTGAGGGGGAGCATCCTCTCCCGGCCCCTAGACACAACAGAATGCAGTGGGAGAGATATGCTGTGTTTAAGGGGACCCCAGTCTCAATAAAACTTCAGAAGTGTTCACCATCAAATCTCCCAACAGGCAGACAAAGCTGTTACTATAAAGAAAGCCACTGGACCGGGACTTAGGGAATAGCTTATGGAAAGTGACTGAGAGTCTTACCACGATGACAAATACAAACTTAAGATAGCCCATTTCCATGGATTGGGCCCAAGTAGCAGAAATAATTGACTGGGAGTGGGGTGGGGAGGCGAGTGCCAAGTCCTGGGTCTGGTTGGTGGCCAAAGAACATCAGGAGTCATCAGAAGGACTAGCAGGCACATCAGGGCTGCAGGTCCCACACCTGGGAGGGTCATCTGCACTAAAGGACAATTGGTAGAGGCTCAGTCGGGACAGGTTCAGACATGCAGGCAGGATGGGTGGACAGGAGATTTAAGAAGCTTTTTTTTTTTTAATTGGAGAAACCCATGAAAAATCCCATTAACTTCTCCGGGTCCTTGCAAAACCTTTCCCCTAATGACYGTGCTTAACATCAACCATTTGAAATGATGCTAACACATGTCTAGCTTTCCAGCTTCTCTTTTAAAAACTTATTATGTGGGTCACAGGTCATCTCATTTGTTGTTATGCACCTTACCAATATAACCTTTCTTATTGCATTTGCTTGTGTTATTACCTATCACTGAGATAAGCAGGTTCTTCTTAACATTGATATAGGAGGGCTGGGGGTATAGCTCAGTTGGTAGAGTGCGTGCCTTGCATGTACAAGGCTCTGRGTTCAATCCCCAGCACCAAAATAAGTAAATAAAATTTTTAAAAATTGAAATTGGGTTTGGGATGCTGAGTCATAAGTTTTTTCACATTTTTGATTGTTTCTCTAGGAAAGTCTATTTTAATTTCCAAACAAGTAACCTCCAACAAATCTTTTCAATTTACAGAAAACCTTTCTAGAATGCATATATTTCCTGAAATAAAATAGTCTTTACATGGCATAGTTTGGCTATACTATACATTTTCATAAACACAGTATTATATATTTATCTAATTTTGTGGCAGTTAACTGTCATTTTCCCTGGGGATATATTTCTAATCCTTTGAATAACCTTTCTATTTCTCATGTGTCACAGTGTGATTTGGGGCCATGTAATTTAGTAGAAACAGTACTCTATCACTTAATCTGAAAATTACCACCTGTGTAATTTTACACAAAGCATTTAAAATCTCAAAAGCCTGGTCTTAATCTCTAAAATGGGGGTTTCAATATCTACTTGAAAGGATTGTTGTGAATGAATGTAAAAGTACTTCAAATACTATTTGATGTAAATCAGATATGATCACTGCTAATCATCACTTGGACCCAATTGTTGACTTCAATATTGTTGACTTAAATATTTTCCTTTTAAAAATCTCATTTTTTTACTTCCCTTCTTGAGTTGAGGTTTGTGCTAAATGTTTACAGAAACAATTGGCTACAAATGTTCAAATATCATTTTATCACTTGAAAAAAGTAGGTATACCGTAGCCATAGCAAACAGAGTGACTGCTAAATATGTGGAACTTAAACTTGAAGACTTAGTGTCATCCCCCACCCACACCATGACATGATCTAAAGGTCTGATTTTAAGTTAAAACCCTTTATCCTGGCAGATTAAATAGAAAACTTGATTTCCAAAATTATCAGTAGAGATAGATAACAGAAAAAAATTAATTGCCAGGGCTGGGGACATAGTTCAGTTGGTAGAGTGCTTGCCTCAAATGCACAAAGCCCTGGGTTCAGTCCCCAACACCACACACACACACACACACACAAAAAGAATCAATCACCTTATAATTCTCATACTGACAAGAATTTCTTTTGTAATATATTTCCTAGATATTTAAGTAATTCTTTGGACTTTCAAGTTCTGTTGGATTATTTATTTATTTATGTATCTATTTTAGTTGTTGATAGACCTTTATTTTATTTTATTTATATGTGGTGCTGAGAATCAAACCCAGTGCCTCACACATGCCAGGCAAGTGCGCTACAGCTGAGTCCCAGCCTCAGCCCCCTGTTGGGATATTTGCATGGAAATTTAGTTGGTTAAAAAAAGATCTAGATGTTAAAAATGGATTTACAGAAGCTGTGGGAAGACTTGAATATTTCCATTTAAAAGAACTTGAATGTGAAAAGTTCCAAATAAGTGAAAGAGCRGATTGCAAATTGTAAACTGTCTTGAACAAAAGAGATTTGAAACAACTGTAGAAAAAAGTAAACAAAAAAATATTAAGCAACAACAAACATTGGAAATTAATAGGCAGGATCCAGCAAGGACATTTTATTGAATTGCTTGCAGGGGGAGCAGGAGAAATGAAGAAGCAGTGATAGTGGTGCTTGAAGCTCTTATTTAGATACCACACCAAAGGGTGATTCAACACACACACACACACACACACACACACACACACACACACACACACAAATGCACGACACCTGCTCTTTCATCTTACTTTGTATGTTTTAAAGAGAATGAAACAGTTTCCGTCACCAAGGATTTTGACAACTCACCTCCATTATGACAAATTACCTGGATCCATCCTGGAACATAAAGTCAAGGTGAGTGTCCCTTCCTATTGGTATTTGAATTTGCAATTTTTATGTGTATATATTGGCTGGGGTTTTTTTCCATTTGTTTTTACTGTGGTACCAGGGAAGGAACCCAAAGTCTTGCATATGCCTGAAAAGCACTTTAGCATTGAGTTATACTCTAGCCCTGTAGCTATTAGGTTTTTGAGAAACATGATGAGTTTTCTCATAGAATGCTGATAATCAAAATATGAGATTTAGTATTTCTTTTGCTGTTGTTTCTTTTTTCAGATATTTTTGCTATGGTTATGTTCAAGTCCAATGCGTTTTGGACTAAGATATAAGACAAATGCATAGAATGAAAGGTGTAGCATTTTGTAATCTGTTTTATACAATTAGTAGATTTCAGAACCCCACCAGACTATTTTAGAGTGTTTAACAAAAGAATACAGCCTAGTAAGATGAGCAGAAATTTTCCTTTGATTATTTCTGGTAATCACTCCTTGCCTGAGATCTGAAACTATTTTATTTCTGCATTTCACACATAATAATAAATTTCATGCCATGCATGCAGAACTACTTGTGCTTTGGCTAGTCTGATCATTTGTTGAAAAATCTTGATTCATTAATCTATTTCTTATAATTATTAGTTCTTACCTGGTCCTTTTTGTTTTCTGTTCCCTGGTCTCCTCCTGCCCCRTTCTTTTTTCTTGGTGCTCTTTTCTCTGTCTCAGAAGGTAAGAATGAGAGTGAGTTAAAAATCAAGATTTAAACTTTTGAATGCCACAAAGAAGAATGGGAAATAGTGAAGTAACGTCAAAGAAAGGAAAAGAAAACAGTTGGATTAAACTGCCAGGGGTGAGAGACAAGAGGTATAGAGGAGGAAGGAAGAGTAGGATGGAAAACATTAGGAAAGTGGGACTAGAATTAGCCACCTGTGGCTACAATACAAGAATCCTGGGAGCCTAGAATTGGAAAATACCTTAAAAACGGTCTGCTCTATTCCCAGTGGGTGTTTTAATTCCACTAAGTGATTGTCTGGACCAAGACTGAGCACATCCAATTGTAAATCCTCTATTCCCTAAATTGTACAAATTTGTACAACTCTGTAAAACAGTTTTTCCTTATGTTGAAAATCTACAAAATTAGAAATAATACTTTAACGTACAATTTTCTGTTTAATGCAGTTAACATAATCACAAATCTAGATGGCCTTTTTTTTTCCTCTTAATGATTTCATTACAAACAGAGCTGAAGTAATTTATAATGCATTTGGTCACTTTCTTTTCTCTCTCTCTCTCTCTCTCTCTCTCTCTCTCTCTCTCTCTCTCTCTCTTTTGTAGGGGGAAGGGTTACTGGAGATTGAACCCAGGGTTTGCTCTATTACTAAGCTACATTCCTAGCCCTTTTTACTTTTTAAAATTTTGAGACAAGTCTGGTCAAGATGTAGAGGAGACCGGCCTTGGATTTGAAATCTTCCTGCCTAATAGCTGAGATTACAGATGTGCACCACTGCACCTGGCAGGATACAAGGGCGGGGCTGGGATTGTGGCTCAGAGGTAGTGCGCTTGCCTAACACACATGAGGCACTGGGTTYGATCCTCAGCACCACACAAAAATAAAGATATGTGTCCACCTATAACTAAAAAATAAATATTAAAAAAAGGATACAAGGGCAAGAAAAGAGCAACAGATGGGTTAAGAGGTGGATGCTTAGGATTTGTTCATACTCTCGCCCATTGGTTTTCTCAATTCAAGTTCCTGTCTTTGTGAAATTATGAATTACTGCAAACCAAAGTGTTCAATGAGTTAAAGCCTCAAACATAAAATCCTTCAAATGAYAAGAATATACTAAATTTGGATGGGGGGAATGGTAAGCTTTAAATCAGAGTCAAAACCCCAGCCCATTTATCTCTTTTTAAAAATTTGTTTTAATAATTTATTTTTCTGAATATTCAATTTTACCCTGTTACGGCCAGCACAGTGGTCCACCCTCTTTGAATCTCTGTGACTCAGGAAACTCAAGCTGGAGGAATGCAAGTTCAGGGCTAACCTCCATAATTTAGTGAGTCCCTGCTAAAATAATAATTWWAAAAAAAGAAGCTGGGGTGTAGCTCAGTAGGAGAGCACATGCCTAGCATGTGCGTAGCCCTGGGTTGGTTCCCTGCGTGGGAAAATTTTTTCCCAAGTAAAGGGACTGACCCAGGGCTTTGCACATGCTAGGCAAGCACTCTATCACTGAGCCACACCTCCAGCTCAGGGGAAAAAATTTATACTGTTAGCATTAGTTCGTTTTTTTTAGATGCACAAGGTGTTTGGGGATCCTATTTCCCTCTCAGTTTCATGTCATCTACTGATTTGATAGAAATAGATCTGAATCTTTAGGTCAATCACCCATGAAATTGTTAACGATGGTCCTCTCAGGATAAAATAAAATTCAGATAGGTTTATATTCATTAATGATTTAGCCTCCTTTGCACTTGAGTACTGGTCAGCTTTATATGCCTAATTGCTCCTGCTTCCCACTGACGTTCTTCTATTTTTCATACAAGCMATCAAAAGCAATTCAAATCTATTAATTAGAAACCATGTCCAAAAAATCCTGCTCTCAGCAGTGCCGGTATCTGAGAGGACCCAGGTTGCCCCCTACTGGTCACTGCCTCCTCYTTTATGTTGCCTTGAATCTATTTAGCCACCTGGAGAAACTTGGCCTACATGGAGGTCACAATTGCAATTGGAACTTTGCACCATCTGTGTCTCCCTCACGTTCTGTAAGTGAAATGACCTCTGCCTGCTTCTAGTCACCTGAGCTCTTCTGTGTGACCTAGAATACCCAGAGTTCACCAACATGCTCAGTGACCTTCTCCAGAATCCTTGGTTTGAAACACAAAGTATCAGATTGGAAGCCAGAATACTGGGAGAGCCGCCAGGCACCCTACCACAATATTTGATTCTCTTTCAATTTGCTCTTTACAGTGTTTATTTTGCTTTTTATTTTCATCCAAAAAAAACCTCTATCATCGTCAGAGAAGACAGAAGGTGGCAATTTAGTGGTTCTTCTTCATYTACATCACCGTCTTGCACAAACCTCACACCTTGGTCCCCAGACAGTGCGCCTTGCCATTCTTTGATCTTCTCCACCAGTTCTAACCTTATGGTCTTTMAAGTTATTTTGCAATTTTAATTTTATTTGGGGTCTTAGCCTTTCACAGGATACTCCTGTGACTCCTCTGGTGCATGTGCTCTGTTTTCCTTATTTCTATTATCTGCACACACGTTTTTACTTTCTGAAGTCATCATTAGCCAAGGCCCCCTGCGACCACATCCATCTTCCTTGCCTTCCTCTTTCTTCCTCCCCTCTGCCCAGGCTTCCCCATCTGCGACTTCTTTCTGTCTGTCCTTCTTTCTCTCTCTCTTAACACAATTGTGCAAAATATACATCTGGACACAATGACACTGCTCYCCCTTTCACTCTTCCAATGTCCAAAACATAGACCTAAATAAATTAACTTGGTTTTCACTCCCCAGATATTGGTGATATTCCGCAACCCTAAAGATACAGCGGTATCTTTTTTCCATTTCCACAATGATGTCCCTGATATTCCAAGCTATGCCTCTTGGGATGAATTCTTCAGACASTTCATGAAAGGACAAGGTATGGCTATTGGTAAAAGAATCCTCCTTATTTCAACCGATGACCACCTATATATGAAAACTCAAAGGTGTTTTAGAGTAAGAAAGAAACGTTTTAGGTAGATCCAGGAACTAAAAAGTTGCATTCAAATGAAGTTTTGTAGCACCACTAGTTCTGGGCATCAAGAAATTGCAATGCATTACTGATTTAAAAATAAGCTGGACAATTCATATGTTGACTAGGAGTATTGAATGGCTATGGAACAGGGGGTGGGACAAGGTCTTTAATGGAGTCACGTAGAAAAGCATTTCTAGTTCAGTCTCTTAACTCACTAGGTAACACAATGATAAAAACCAAAAAAGATTTTTTAAAAAATCCTGACTCAGAGCAGCTACGTGTAAGACATTTGTTTGCCAGAAAGGAAGTAAGTTTTCATTAGAACGTGTTAATATTTTACCTCTGGTCATTTATAATCACAGTTTGCTAGTGTCTACCAATCCTTYAGGCACTAAATTAAGTGTCCTATGTGCATAATTTCACTTACATAACAAACCATGAGTAAGGCCTCATTCACAGATGATGAAACTAATAAAAAAAAATTAGATTATTTGCCTGTGGTACCACTKATTATAAGTGGCCATGAGTACAGTGGTGAAACAATAAAGACTTTCATTAATAGTATCTTCTTTGAGTCTTTGCAGTGTAGTAGAAGAAAGAATTGACGCCAGATGGTCCTAGGGAAGAAGTTTGGTCAGTTTACTTTTTTTTTTTTTAAATTTTTTATTTATTTTTTAGTTTTCGGCGGACACAACATCTTTGTTTGTATGTGGTGCTGAGGATGGAATCCGGGCCATATGCATGTCAGGCGAGCGCGCTACCGCTTGAGCCACATCTGCAGCCCCGTCAGTTTACTTTTAAAGAACCATTTTCCTTCTTCTTTCTTGCTTTCTTTTCTTTTTTTCAGTACTGGAAATAGAGGCYCACTATCACTGAGCCATACCCCCCAGCCCTTTTTTATTTTGAGACAGGACATCACTAAGCTGCTGAGGCTGGCCTCAAATTTGTGATGTTCCTGTCTTAGCCTCATGAGTTGTTGGGATTGCAAGCATGYACCACAGCATTATGTGTGTGTGTGTATATATATATATATATATATATATATATATATATATATATATATATATTGAAATGATGATTACAGTCAAGCAAATGAACACATGCATCATGTTACATAGCTACTTTTTTTTGTATGTGGAGACAGCAGCCAAAATCTACTATCCTACCAAATTTTCAGTGTACAATGTTATTAACTATCTAGTCCTCATGCTGTACACTGGATCTCTAGACCAATTCACAACTGAATAATTCAAAACTGCATACCTACAAGTTTGTACCTTCTGATCTACATCTTCCCATTACCTCTCTCCCTTACACCTGGGAAACAGCATCCTACTCACTATTTCTTTTTACTTTTAGTTATAGATGGACATAACACCTTTATTTTATTTATTTATTTTTATGTGGTGCTGAACCCAATACCTCACACGTGCYAGGTAAGCACTGTACCACTGAGCTACAACTCCAGCCCCTCCTACTCTCTATTTCTATGTATTCAACTTTTTCTRGGTTCCACATTAAGATGAGATAATATAGGTATGTGTGTATGTGTGTGTGTCTGGCTTCTTTCAGTTAGCAAAATGTTCTTCAGGGTCATTCATATTATTAGAAATAAGGACTGGGGATATAGCTCAGTTCACCGAGTGCTTCCCTTGCATGCACAAGGTTCTGGGTTCAATTCCCAGCTCCAAATAAATAAATAAATAAAAGGCACTATGTCTTTCTTTTTTAAGGCTGAGTAATATATAATATGTACATATTATATGTATACATTATACACACACACATCAACCAAAAGGACTTTTTAAAAAGGTGATCAGCACAGAAAATGCTGTAACATCCCACCTGTGTGAACACTGAGCACAGTGCTGGCTCCCAAGCAAAGATTTAAATATTGAGATTGAGAAGAGCAGAAAGAAAAGACCATAAAGGGTACATAGGAAGCACCATAAAGAATGCTTTGTTTGGGGGCTGGGGTTGTGGCTCAGTGGCAGAGCGCTTGCCTAGCATATGTTAGGCACTGGGTTTGATTCTCAKCACCACRTATCAATAAATAAAATAAAGTTCCATTGACAASTAAGAAAAAAAATTTAAAAAAGAATGCTTTGTTTTGTCTAATAACTCTTCACTAAGACTGTACAGATGCAGTTAACACAAATCTGAAATGTCATTCAATTAATGACACAAGAGAACAGTCAATGATGAGAAATTTGTTATGGGTGGGGCAACCTGTTTTAGGGAATCTTTGTCACCCTATCCATTCTCTTACCACAATTAGTTGATTGGCAGTGATAATATGTGGCAGTGATAACTTGGTTAGAACCTCTGCCTTGCACATTTCTTAGATGCAACTTATAAAGGCAACTGAATGCACTGGAAACATCAGATTTGGAATGAGACAACCTGGATTGGGCTTCATCACTCATCATATAATAATAATTAATACTGGACAAATTACGATAGATACCAGTTACTAAGAAGTTACTACATGTCAGGTGGTATGAYAAAACCCAGTATTGAACTTTAATTCTCACTATAATTATTAAGGATAATACTGGAGAAAAGTATTATCCTCATAAGATAATATTCTTATTATCCCCATCTCCTAATGAAGAAAGTAGAGGCATGACAAGGTCACATAGCCATTAAGTAGTAGAGCTCAAAAGTAAACCCAGATTCACATGACTTTATACCTGAGTGATGTAAGCAAGACATTTGATCTCTCTGAACTTCAACCTCCTTAATTATAAAGTGAAGATACGCATTCAGCCTTCAGGAGGTAAGACAGTATAGAGAATKCTGTTTCCCATTTTTCTACCTCCCTTAAGCAGTACCAGCTCTGTTGTCAGACTGACTGAATGATAGCAATACCTGTAGTGTACTAATGGTGTGGCCTTAAAGTGGTTACTTATCCTCTCCCTGATTTTTTTATGCACTGAATGTATAAATATGCTTTTTCAACTGTGARTTTTGTGAAAAATAAATATACTTAAGTATTGACAATAAAACTTTAGCATTTAAATTGAGATTCTGAGATTCTGTATATATGTAAAATACCCACCAGCTTTTGAAGACCAGAATATAGAAATAATATGTCTGCTTTATTAACAATTTTTAGGGCATAAATTAACTATCATTTTTACCTCAGTTTTGTAAAATTCCCTATATATGAAGTCTTTTTCCCTGTGTTTTTAGTTTCTTGGGGAAGCTATTTTGATTTTGCAATCAATTGGAACAAACACCTGGACAATGAAAATGTTAAGTTCATACTATATGAAGACCTGAAAGAGGTAAGACTATGCTCATTGATATTCTAGAGCAAGACTTATTATAAGTTACAATGTGCGGCACATATTTACCAGGTCTGGTTGTATGGTCAAATATGATATTCAATTTTAAAATATTCCAAATATGCAACACACTACTAGAAAACAATCTAACCATACATAAATGCTTAAGTTGTTACTTAACACAAATAAAACAACACTTAACAACTTAAGAGTAACTGATTTATTCTTTCTTTATAATGGATAGTCCAAATTAGTAATGGAAAAACATTAGGTTAGTGTCAGTTGATCTAATTGAACATGCATTTGATTGTGAATTGATTTTTTTCCAGCTTATGTTATTTTTATTTCTTTGTATGTCTATTTATTTTTGCAATACTGGGGATTGAACTTGAGAGCACCCTACCACTGAGTAACATCCCCATCCCTTTTAAAATCTTATTTTAAGGGTTGGGGTTGGGGCTCAGTGGTAGAGCACTCACTGAGCCACTTGTGAGGCCCTGGGTTCGATCCTCAGCACCACATAAAAACAAATAAATAAAGATATTGAGTCCAACTACAACTAAAAAATAAATATATTTTAAAAAAATCTTATTTTAAGACAGAGTCTCATTAAATTGCCCAAGTTGGCCTCAAACTTGCCATCCTCCTGTTTCAGCCTTTTGGGTAGCTRGGATTACAGGCATGCACCAGTTAGTGTTATTTTTTAAAAAACTGTTAACATTGTTTTGGCCTGAGTGATACATCAGTCTCAGGCTAGACAAAGTTCAGTGCTTTGGAAGAACTTATTTACCAGGAGAAGGACGGAAGACAGAATGATAAACAATAAATATAATAAAATTGAAAATTTGAAAATGTATGTAGTATGTGGGGGAAAAAAAAACACACATAACCGGTTAAGAAAGATTGGAAGTGCCAGCGGGTGGGGGATTTGAATGCTGCACAACTCCCCATATAAAATAAGGTGGTCAGTTGGGCTCCTATGGGGGGATGTGATCTGAACAAAGCTGAGAAGGAGGTGAGGGAGTGGGCCAAATAGGTAACTGGAGGAAGAGCTTTGCAGGCAGAGGAAATCAACCAGAGCAGAGTCCCTGATTTCTTCACGTGATTAAGGTACAGCAAGAAGGCAGCCAGGCCTAGGCCAGTAGAAGAGAGTCACCTTGAGGGTGGAGTGAAAGCATTAGGATGGYGGGACATTGAAATGACTCCTGCTGTCACTCTGAATGGAACAGGGAAGCCAATGGTGTGTTTTTAACAGGATAGTTTTGGCTGGTATGTGAGTATAGACTGGAGCAAAGATAGTGCAGAGAGACCTGTGAAGAGGCTACTGCCCTAATCCAGGCATCTTCCAGGGAAGATGGGAACTTAGGCCAGGAAGGGGCAGTGCAGGTAGGAGAAGTGGTTAAATGCTGGATAAATGTTGAAGGAAGAGTCAATAGGATTTTCTGGTGGATTAGATGGAAGGGAAGGTGTGGAGAGAAAGAGGAGTCAAATAAGACTCCAATGCCACCAAGWGAGTTGGAGATGGCATTAGGTGAAGCGGGGCTGTGGGGAAAATCAGAGGTTTTGTTTGGGGCATGCTAAGTTTAAGTAAGATGGTTATTAGTCAGCCTAATGAAAAGGTCAAGTAGGCAGTCGAGCATAAAAGTCTTGAATACAGAGAGTTGGGAGGTGTAGATAAAATTTGGGCATCACTGACACACAGATGGCATTTCAGGCAGAGATTTCATACGTAGGTGTAGAGAGAGAAAAGAGAAGATGACCAAGAACGGAGTCCTGGAGATGGCTGATATAAAGAATTTGAGAAGAGGAGGAATCAGTAAAGAAGCAGTTAGTGAGGGAGGAGGGAAACCAGAGTCCTGGATCCTCAAGGAAGAAAGTGTGTCAAAGGGAAGRGAGTGTGTTAAATGCTCCCTAATTTGAGTTCACACTATTTTCCTGAGATATTCTTATCAAAAGCACATGCAATTTAATCCACCTTTTTTGTTTATTTGATGTATTTATATTACATGGAAGACATTTTAAGTTAGTCTTTTCTGCCTCTAGTTTAAAATAATGCTTCTGAAACTTGTGCTCCATAGACTAGCAGTGTTGCCCCAGATGTTAGTATTTCTTTTTTGGAAATTGGAAGGAGGTTGTTTGTACCAACAGATTTAGGAAGTGCTATATTACATAGCCAGCTCCTCTGGAGAGCCACACTGTAGATTGATCGGTACATGAAAGGCTCTGAGAGAGTCTAAAGAAAAATAATCTTGCCTTCATTTATCTCAAGGATTTTAAACGAATTTGACCCCCATCACCCTTCTTTTTTTCCCTCCATGAAATGTCTACAGCTGTCTTACGGTACATTAGCGTTTTGTAGAATACAGTTTAAAAACCTGTTCTAGAATATTTATGACACAGTGTTGGGTGGATCATGATTTACATGGTTAATTAGACAAGATAAATTTTAAGATTCTTTAAAGGTTTTTTCTTTTTTTTTTTTCTCCTAGTACAGGGGATTAAACTTGGAGGCACCTCTATCACTTAACTACATCCACAGCCCTTTTTATTTTTTAAAATTTTATGATGTATTTTTGTTGTTGTTGTTGTTGTAGGTGGACACAATACCTTTATTTTATTTTTATGTGGTGCTGAGGATCTAACCCARTGCCTGAYGTGTGCCAGGCAAGCGCTTTACCACTGAGCCCCAGCCCCAGAACCCTTTTTATTTTTGGAGACAGGATCTTGCTAAGTTACTGAGGCTGGTCTCAAATTTGCCATCCTCCTGCCTCAGCTCCCTAAGTCACTGGGATTATAGGCATGCACCACTTTACCCAACTCCAAGCTTTTATGATTTTAAAAATTAGACTTATTTGGTGGAATTAAACATTAGCTACAAATAGGATTCTGAAGAAAGATTTGAATAAACTCATATAAATACATTTGTTTCCTTGGGTGGTCTAAGCTGATGCTTTTTAATACAATGGATATCATCCTAGATGAAATTCTAATCTACCTAATTAATGCTACTATCATTATTTATATTCTAAATACTATAATCTAGTTCAGTGAGTGTCATGAATTGAAACTACAGAGTACAATCAATGTAGAATATATTATAATGATATCTTGAATACTTACATAAAAGTATCAAAGAAATCTAAGAGAGAAGCAAATTAACTAGGGAGTTAGACTTTATAATCTTAATCCACTCTGATTAATAAACTTAATCCACTCTGAGTTTTTCTTTGCACCAATTTAATTTCCATGGAAAAATATTTATCCTTTAAATTTTTTATTTTCAGAATCTGACTGCTGGAATAAAACAAATTGCTGAGTTCTTTAGATTCTCTGTAACTGGGGAACAGATTCAAACCATCTCAGCCCAGAGTACCTTCCAAGCGATGAGAGAAAAATCTCAGGAGACGCATGGTGCTGTTGGCCCATTCCTGTTCCGCAAAGGTAAACTTGCTTTCATTTCTGGGGTATCATGTCACTTGGGGAATAACTTTGCACATAACAGGCAATCTCAATAACTTCATCTTGCATTTTCCTCTTCCATGATAAGAAGTCTGGAATAGGCAGTGCAGAGCTGCTTAACTGGCAGCTCCATACATAACCTTTTTATTGTACCGAGTGCCCTCTGCCTTTCTTCTTGTCCCCTGTGATGACACAGAGAGCAGCTGTACTCCATCATTGCATTCAAAATCTAAGCAGCAAATTGGTGCAGCCAATATGGAAAGTAGTATGGAGATTGTTTGGAAAACTGGGAATGGAACCACATTTGACCCAGCTATCCCTCTCCTCAGTCTATACACAAAGGACTTAAAAACAGCATACTACAGGGACACAGCCACATCAATATTTATAGCAGCACGATTCACAATAGCTAAACTGTGGAACCAACCTAATTGCCCTTCAGTAGAGGAGTGGATAAAAAAAAATGTGGCATATATACACAATGGAATATTACTCAACAATAAAAAAGAATAAAATCATGGCATTTTCTGGTAAATGGATGGAGTTGGAGAAGATAATGCTAAGTGAAATTAGCCAATCCCAAAAAGACAAATGCCAATGTTTACTCTGATATAAGGAGGCTGACTTATATTGGGGTAGGGAGAGGGAGCATGGGAGGAATAGAGGAACTAGATAGGGCAGAGGGGTATGAGGCAAAGAGAGGGGTCAGGGAGTTGGCAATGATGGTGGAATGTGATGGACATCATGATCCAAAGTACGTGTATGAAGACATGAATTGGTATGAACATACTTTATATACAGAGATATGAAAAATTGGGCTCTATGTGTGTAATAAGAATTGTAATGCATTCTGCTGTCATTTATTTAAAAAATAAAATCAATTAAGAAAAAAAAAAGTCCAGGCAGGTTGAAGGAACCAGCAAGGGAAAGAATCATGCACATTATCTGAATGAACCCCCTTTAAAAAGAACGATCTGGAGGCGCCATTCAGGGACTACTTACATTTCATTGATCACCTCTCTCTCTGCAGCAATAGTTAGAAAATGTGATTTAAACAACAACAACAACAACAACAACAAAACCTAGGCACATTGTTACCCAATTAGAATCAGGATTCTGTTTAAATATAAGAGAAGAAAATGAGTGTTGGAGAGACAACTAGGTGTCCCTGACACAGATGATTTATTGAGTTTCATCAAAATACTCTAAATTCTTGTGCCAGTCTTTCTTTTTTCTTTTTTTGCATATAATGCAATGAAAGTATGTTATAACAAAATTTAAAGGCAGCACATGTAACAGCAAGGACACCTACTAACATTGGGCATTTGATCATCTATTAAACATATTGTTGGAATCAAATTTCTTAATAAAAAAGAWGAAATCCCTAATTTAATTTTTTTTTTAGTTTTAGGTGGACACAACACCTTTATTTAGTTTCTTTTCTTTTATGTGGTGCTAAGGATCAAACCCAATGCGTCTTATATGCTWGGCAAATGCTCTACTGCTGAACTATAACCCCAGCCCCCAAATCCCTAATTTTACAAATGTAGGAAAGGAGCCAAAGTTATTACTTCTTCTTTGTCATRTAGCTAATAAACAATGGAGTCAGGAATAGAGCCTCATTTGCATTATTCTAYTATACATTTTTCAGTTGAAGACCCATTTTAAAAATCCAGTATGAATGAAACATTAAACACAAACCCGGCTTTGGTCTGATTCCTAACTACTCCTAATTTTTATGCCTTATTATTAGCTTTATGGAGGGGAAAAATTGAACTTTTCTATATATTGTTAATCAAATTACTATTCAGGATAGAAAAATTCTGAAGTCAACAAAGTAATAGTTTTAAATATTTTTTTTAGAAAATTCACAGCACAGAAAAATGTGGAAAAGCCTTAAAATATAACACAAAACCATTTACAAATGTTGTCAAAAGTTTAAATGTTTCCTAACAAAGGCGCATTTTATCCCAGCCTTTTTCTGTTCATGCTTTATATAGTTGACATTTGTAAACAGTTTTGTGTTTTATTTCATTTCCTTAATATATGATAAGCTTTTCCTTGTGTCATGAAACCCTCTATATCAACAAATATTTCAAAGATTATGCAATATAGAACTTACAATTTCAACACACACCATCAAAAGATTCTAAAGATAGAAATAACATACCCTCATGGTAGGTAGAGTTATTAAATTTTTGCAAAATTTTCATTATCTTAACCAAAACCTGGTAAAAATTGCTACTTTCCAAAGGGTATTTAAAGTATTTAAAAGACTTTAGAGAGGAAAAAAAATTAACCTCACAAAGTGGAATTTTAGATCCCAGATGTTGGGAGAGGAGTGGTGGTAGGAGTTCATCAAGACTGAGTCTTTTCTCCCCCAGTGATGTCACACCACCTTGCAGGAGCTCCAGTGGATAGTGTTCATTTTACAAGGAAAATTATATTAGTTTTTAATGCTGTCTAATTTTTTTTCATGTGTTCATTTTCACATTTCAAAGCTGAAATACTGCATGCACAAAAATAATAAAATCAGGTAGGGCATACCTTAAAACCAAGAAAAAATATTCTAACAGATGTCTGGGTCTGCCGCGTTTTTGTGTTGTAGGTGAAGTTGGTGATTGGAAAAACTTGTTCAGTGAAACTCAGAACCAGGAAATGGATGAAAAATTCCAAGAGCTCTTAACAGGCACTCCCCTGGGAGTAAAGCTGAAGTATGAATCATATTGCCAGGCTTGATTCTCGCCAAGTCAGCAGGCCTGAATGTTTTCTTTTCCTTAATCATAATTGAATTTAGATAATTATGAAAAATTCAAATAAATAATGATAACGAAACAACATCTAAATCTGAATAATATAAATTCAATAATAATGATAAYATCTGAAGTCTTTGAGCGCAAATTTAAGTTTGTTCACCTTTTGAAGAAAAGGTCCACTTATCTGTCCCCAAAGGACACTATTATTAATGTGTTATACTGKTTTTTTKKGGGGGGAGGGGGGTATACGGGGATTGAACTCAGGGGTACTTTCCCACTGAGCTACATCCCCAGGAGATGGGGTCTCATTGAATTGCTTAGCGCCTTGCTTTTGCTGAGACTGACTTTGAACTTGCAATCCTCCTGTATGAGCCTCCTGAGCTGCTGTGATTACAGGTATGTGCCACCGCACCAGGCTACAYTGGGATTTTAACTTCCCTTGTGCTCTGAGTTCACAAAAGGGCATTAGTAGATACTATCAGAAACATGCCTAGATCTGTGTTTGAGCATAGATGAAGAGCTCTTCATGTGATGCACCATTTTTTGTACTTTCCTTGTAATTACTCTTACGTTTTCCCACTATGGATCAAAGCACTTACTGTTGGGGAAAATTTAATTCTGACTCTGTATTGACATTAGTTGAATAAATGATATTATGTTTGATTCAAGAAAAATACACTGCTCAACTGCTCTGTGTATATCACTGCAGAAGGCCATATGAAGCTGTCAAGAAACTTTATTTTTCTATTAAATACATTWAAAAATTTAATTTTTTAAATTTATAATTGAATTTATAATTTATAYGTGGACACAATATCTTTATTTTGTTTATTTATTTTTATGTAGTGCTGAGGACTGAATCCAGTGCCTTACATGTGTGAGGCAAACGCTTTGCCACTGAGTCACAACCCCAGCCCTATTGAATTCATTTAAAAGATATTTTTGGTTGTAATAGACACAATATCTTTATTTTATTTGTCTATTTATTTTATGTGGTGCTGATAATCAAACCCAGTGCCTCAAACATGCTAGACAAGCACACTACCACTGAGTCACAACCCCAGCCCCTGAATACAATTTTTAATTCAAAGTTAAAGGTGAGAGATTGTATTATTCTATCATAAAGGACTTCTTGCCACAAAGCCCATGGAATTAAGAAATAGAGAATATTCTAAAATGAATCTGCTGTTTGATACCTCCTATCCTCTTAATAATCTTTACTGTTTACACTGCAGCTACTTCTACTATAAAACTAAATTATGTGCAGTTAAGAATAGAATGATTCATAGAAATGTTAAGAAAAATTGTTTTGAGGATTACAATTTCTAAAAGTATGGCAAATTAAGTAAACTGAAAATTTCCCTCTTTAAAAAATTTCCAAAAAATGTTGGATAAAAGTTCTTTAAAACTATGTACATAGCTTATCTCCCAGTAAATACACCATCAGGACCCAGAGCAAAGAAGGAGCAGAGAACCAGAACAAGTAAGAATCAGAGATGACACTGAAGGATAAGCATCTGCTTATCAGAAAAAAATATTTGGCCTTTGTTTTTTGAGGATTGACTTATTTTCACTAAACATGATATCCTCTAGTTTCATCCATTTACCTGCAAATGCCATAATTTCATTSTTCTTTAAGGCTGAGTAATATTTCATTGTGATATGAACCACATTTTCTTTATCCATTCATCTGTTGAAGGGCACCTACGCTGGTTCCATAGATTAGCTATTGTGAATTGAGCTGCTATAAACATTGATGTGGCTGCATCACTGTAATATGCTGATTTTAAGTTCTTTGGGTGTAAACCCAGGAGTGAGATAGGTGGGTCAAATGGTGGTTCCATTCCAAGTTTTCTGAGGAATCTCCATACTGCTTTCCATAGTGTTTATGCCAATTTGCAGTTTAAATTACAATAAAATTAAAGAAACAGAGAAAAAGACAAAAGTTTTAAGATGATTTTAAGAAACCAGGAAAAGGGCACTGATTTTGGTGTATTTTACTTCTGCTCTAAAAATGAGATTCCACTTCCTGATGCATATGTAGAAGTGGTGAAATGAACTAATGTGAGGTTAGAGTCACGTCTGGAAGGAAGTTTGTTGAGCATWTCGCATTGTGCCCCCATGTTGAGAGCCACAGCCAAAGGGGCCCCAGAAAACTTCCAGCTGATTGGCTCACCGTGGCCCCAGCAAACTTCCAGCTGCCAGCTGATTGGCTCCTCTGCGGTGATGCTCATTGGGCTGTTTCCCTGCCCTTTCAGACCACGGAGCTGCTCATTGGGGGATTCTTTTGGCTCCRCCCACATGACCCAGCCAATCGGCCTCAAGAGCAGGAGGAGTGGGGGGTTGAGAGGCTTGTGGGAAGCCGGTG